TAATTAAGCTAAAGGGCAAAAACATCTCTCTGCATCTATAAATCAGGCTACAGTCAATGGTTTCTATGAAACCAAGTCTATACAAAACAACCTTGAAAGCAGCATGTATTATAAAAGTATCTTGGTGTTCCTGCAATTTCTTTTATAAATTGTTCTGAGTACACAGGTGACTAAGACCAAGAATGAACGGAGTCTCCTGCAGCTGCTCGTGATTCATGTACTAGGAAAAAAGATAAAAGATCACTCCTCAGAGATTTATATCCAAATGCCTTACCCTAATTTACAAAAGGGTACATTAAGGCAATCGAGAAAAGAAAAAAAATTCCCAAACGACCCCTCCACCCTCCCAAAAAAAGTTCATGTTGCTTGGTAATGACAAAAACTCTCTGCAAGAGTGAATGCCTGGCCTTACCCAAGATCAAGCACAAGAACACCAGGGATAGGAAGCTGATCGAGTCCTTTTAACTTAAATAAAATAGGATCATACAAGGAGCACTTAGAGAAAGCAAGAGTGTAGAAATACAGAAATGAATCAGAAATAGTGATTATATTTCCATTTTCTATTCTCTTACTCATTTTTACTTTTAAAGAAGGCCCTTAAAGAACTTAACATCCTTCACGTCCACATGTTGCCTTTGTTCTCACACATTCTTGGTGTGATGTGTGTTAATCACAGTCTATAATCAAATATCGATCTGTAATGGGAGGCACTGAATCAAAGGATCAGATTTAGGAAAACTCAAGTATCTCTCTCTGCTTTGCTTGGTAAACATCATTTACCTGCAATAGCCAATTTTTCTCCAGCTTGTAAAAGTTAACTAGCAGGCAATTCTCAATAATAATAAATTCAGACTGTGAACTATAGTGAGCCACTATGCTGGAAGAATGACATATATAAAATCACATTTAGAACTTACAACCACCATGTGAGAAAAATCTTTATAACTATTTTATAATCATCACACAGAATACAAAACGGAAATCCCAAGAAGTTTAACCATTTGCCTAAGGTCATTTGTCTCAGGAGTGGTGAAACAGGAATTGGAATCTAAGTCTTTAGAAGCTAGAGGCTAGAATCCTTCCACCAACCAAATTTTAGGTCATCCTCAGACATGGAAACAGAAGGGCCTATGGGGTAAGATTTACCAACCCATGCGAGAAACCTCCAGTACTCAGACCAGCTATTTCAGCAGGGATTTTTTTTTTTAAATGTTATTTATGGTGATGAGAAGATTTCAATCACCTATAATTAAAAAACAAATGTGACTCACAATTTGCTATCTTAAAATCAGCAGTTAGACATAAATAAAATGTAGCAATTTTAATTGGTTTGGCCCACATTTTCATATTTCCATATGGTTATGTTCCTTGTTTTATGTTAAATGCAATCGACTTAGCACTTGGGTTGTAAAGTCTTGGCAGGCTGTATCAATTAGATGTTATATAAATTAGAATTATTCAAAGCCCACATTCCAAATTGAGTGATCTTAAGGGCAAATGTTAAATGTTCTTTTTTTTTTTTTTTGTCCCAGTTAAGGTAGCATAGGCTGTGGGGTATCACTGCACAATGCTGAGACCATATGAGAAGTTCCTGGGTTCAAATCCCCTGGTCAACCTCAACATGCCAAGAGCATACACCGTGATTGCTCCTGGCTGGAAGACAAGGGGAAAGGGAGTTGCAGCAAAGTGAGGTCACCCTGTCAAGGGTACCTCTCACTCCCTGTTAATGAAAGAAAGAAATAAGACAACATTTTAAAAAGTTATAGACTGGCAAACATTTTTTAAAAAATGCTCTTTCATAACTATGTAAATTTTTCCCATTAAACTTGTATAGTCATCCACATGCCAAACTTAATATAGACAAAAAAGGGATGTGTTCTTTGGAATAATAAGAGCTAACAAGTATATCCTTCTTCCCTGAGAGCTACATATGTCTAAAATGGCCTTTTCTATAATCTATGTTTTACAAGATTTATCTTTCCTATCTTAAGTATTTCTGAAACTAACAGCAGCCAGGACAACTCTCACAAACCATCCTAAAACTAAAATGTAAGCACAGTATTGATAAACATCACAGTGGGCACATTAAGTTGGTGGCACTTTTAACCAAATCTTACTTTGTATTGCAAAATATGGCACCCCAACTGTTATTTAATATACTATTAGGTTGTCGGGAAAGTCATGAGGTATTTTTCTATGTAAAAATGTGTCATGACTTACGGACAGCTTAATAGCATAGCAGGGTATTATGTTGCAAAAATGGTTATACATTAAAAAAAAAAAAGGTTATACATTGAAATAGATGTTCTTTCAAAGCCAAAGCCACAATTCTCTTTTGAAACTATAAAACTACAATATCGATAAGACACAAACAGAAACTTGAAAAAATGCAAACCACATCCATTTGCAAAGACTTGTGATTAGATTTATTGTCACAATTGCTCCTCATAGTTATTGCCTGTGTAATTATTTTCCAAACACTGAAGTCCACCACACATGCTAAATAAATGAAAGACTCATTCATCAAACCCCAAGTGGTTGTTGGTGGAATTTTCACACTTATTTAGCTTGACTGAAAGGCCAAAATGCCTGATATCCCCATGATTCTAGGAGAGCTGTGTAATTCAAATTAATGTCTATTTTTTATATTATCACTAAATTTTCTTCTGAAATACTGAGTAATGAGAGAGTGCAGAATTTCTGACTTAAATAAAATTCAACTCTGTTATTGATGCCATGTTTATAAATAACTATTTAAAGAATGAATATTAACAGACATTCCTCCCAGGTAAGGGTAACATTACATTCCGAACAACTAAGAAGTAGAATCCTACTTCTTCATGTCCAATATCCTTATCCTAAAGGTCACAGAAAATTTCTATGTAACTTTTGCATTGGGAAATTTGATGATATGAAAGAGGGTCTAATCTCCTCCTGCATGTCCATAGATTATTTTATTGATTTTGTGCTGTTCTCAGTGTCCGCTTTTTCAGTGACAAGAATGTGGAATTGCTAGAAGTATCCTTAAAGGAAACCTTGAAGGTCATTAGATCCTAGGCAATGAATGCCTTCATTCAACCAGGGTGCTGCCCTCCTTTGCCTGCAAGCCCTCTAACATCAGCAAGTTTCCCCCCAAGGGCCTGCACTTTAACTTGGTTTGAACAGGTCACATATCTAAAATATTTAGCGGTCTCAAATGTCTCTGGTCGGCAGCACTGAGTCACTAATGCCACAGCCACAGTGTTTCAGGCTAGACTGACCTCTTTCTAGTTTTCAATGGAATTATACCATGTAATCCGATTTTCACAGCCATTTAATCAAAGTGAGAAAGGAGATTACAGAGCTCACATTTGTTTTGCAAAGCAAGGGTACAAGGATCATCAATCCTACTGACTCTAAGTGACTTGATATACATTGCTCTGCTTTGGAGTGTTGGACATTAACCTGATCTGCCTCCTGTGTTCTTGTTTAAATAGGAAGGTTTAGGCTCCTTTCCTGAACTAGAAGGTAGCGGCTTCTCCACCAGGCTCTCACCACCACCATTCATGGGAGTAGATGCTACTAGAGGAAGGAGAATGTTCCCCACCCTTTATTAGTCCACAAAGCGGAAAGCTTGCACAAATCAAGTAACTACGATGAAACTTTTCTTTTGTTCAAGACTCTTTATCATTTGATTTCAACTGCACAGCCTGGCAATCCCAGTTGTGGTTTTCAGTGTTTTGCCTAAAAACTAACCTGCTTTCAAGAAAGAAGACAGGCACTGCTTCTTGGTGGTAGAAACCCTTAAGAGGGTGCTCTAGAGACAGACTTTTTCTTTTGGCAAAGACATGTCCCTTCCCCCCACGGTGCAAGAGGCTCATTCTTCCTACTTCTTTCCCAGTGTGTACCCTTCCAGGCTGATATCTATTTAAAAAGAGTCATTCATTGAAGCATTTTCAGCACATTGATGCTTTCATTCTGAACTAGTTGTATACAACCTTACTATTTCCCTTTTTTCTCACCACTTTCACCCCTTCGACACATTTCAGGAATTGCAATCTCCGATAGAACCTCTGGGGGGTGAAAGGGCAGCCTTGCCCAACCAGCAGCAGATAAGAGAACTATTCTGAGGGGCGAAGTAAGAAGAGGTAAGAACTACCAGTGGTGAAAGAAATGTGGGTCCGGGGACCGTCAAGCCCTTTTCTAAACGACGAGTCAGATATTTGTTTCCAGGGAAAAAAAATCTAATTGTACCCCTGGGCGGTGCTTTATACACAGTGCTTTATGTAACAGTGTACAATTTAGCAGCACTGGGAATTATCTCAATAACTATCATTAGAGGTGACCCCTCTTAAAAAGCAAAAAAGAAAGAAAAGAAAAAGCGCAGCTTTTCCTCTTTTGTAATGCAAAGAAGCTGCAAGCACTGTGGAGATGTTACCCTACCTCTGGAGAGCCCACCAAAGCTGCTAACTAGGCAAACGCCGCGGAGAGCCAAGTTTCCTGGCGGCAAGGCAAAACAGTTCCCGCCCCTCCGAACGCTGCCGCTTCCGAGCTCCGGGCTGCAACCGAGTCCGCGCCGCGGCCCGCGCCCACCTGGGGGATGCACAAATAAATCTGGGCGCGAAAGCGAGCGGGGGTGGCGCGTGGGGACTTGTTTCATAATCTCGAATGTATGGGAAATTGTCTTCCGTGCAAAGACATGCCTTCTGGCGAGAACTTAAACTCCCGGCCAAGCAACCGATCCTTGCGTTTGACTGAACTGCGCTGTCCGACTGACAGCCCCGAACTTAACTGCTGCGGCTCCAAACTTGACACCAGCTCCCTCTCCTCTACCCCACTGTTTCTCTCCGGCTCACCCAGCCCGGCTGCTCGGGCTCGCGCACCAAGTCAGCCTCCCCCGTACCCTCTTGGCACCCAGGGCCAGAACAGCCTAGCATGCGCCTGCTGCGGGTCTCAGGGCGCGCCAGCCTCCCCGGGGTTCCGGGCGCGAGTCTGCGAGCTCCCAGGCGTGCCCTACTCACTTGTGTCTTCTTCATAAGGAAAGGCAACGCTGCGATCCAGCCCAGGCAGCGGTGTGGCGACTCCGTTTAGCTGTTCTGGAGCTCCAGCATTTAGCACGAGCGGCGGCGGCAGATAGTCCACGCATTGGGTAGCCCGAGCGCAGCGCCCTCTCCACGGTCAGCTCTCCCCACGGCACTCCAGGTCCTGGCTCAAGCGGAGAGTGAAGCCCGGGCCGACGCGCAGCCAGCGCTTTTCTAGAG